CAGCTACAGGCCATATTCAGCTTCTAGAGTTTCGCCCACATTTCTTCTTGCATGCCCGCTCCCACCACCTTCCAACCAGCCAGGGTACATTGAGTCCTTGTCCTACTTCGAACCTCTCCGACTTCCTCTCCTGCCATCAGCCAGAGAACACTCTCTGCTGTTAAAGGGCCTCATGAGATCAGATATGGTCCATGTGGAAAATCACCTTCTCATAAAGTCAACTTGTGCCATGTAACATAATCACAGGGGCAATATCTCACTACATCCACAGGTTCCAGGGAGTTAGGGCAGGTAGAATGCTGCTTACCACATGCTCTGACCTGTGAGTCTCTACATAGTGACCATTAATGCACAGGAAGGCACTTAGGATGTTCATGGGTGAAGACAGATCCTACACCTACAGGCCCTTGTCATCATACGTTTATATACAATGCACATGCAAAAGGAGGCATATTTCTATATCCCATGCTTCTCCTTTTCTCCAGGGACCCTTTTATTTTCCGTGCTTAGAGTAGAAACCACAGCACGCCTTCAAATGGATTTGCACACAGCTCAGTTTATAGTTCCTTGCACATTATGATGTGTGACCATCACAGGTCACCACTATGTTTAACGATGTTTGTGGCCCATTAGGTATAAGTCCAGAGTATTCCTTAAGGAAGACGTCTGTGTTCATAGATGACCGTGTTTTTTTCCACTCACGCTTTATTTCACTACAGTAGTATTATCTTGCTCTGCTTTTTTTTTTCTTGAAGGGGGGAATTAGAGAATAATGCTGTGATAATAGGGAGGAAAAGCTTTCATTCACTCAACAGATATTTTTGAATGCTTGCTGTGTTCAAATGCTGAGAATACAGCATTGAAAATGCCTGATCTCGTCCCACGGTGTGCGAATTCTAGCAAACAGGCAGACAGACAAATACACCATCTCATGTGAGGTCTTCATAATACTCTCAAGTAAATAAAAAAGCACTAAGGAGATGGAAGTGTGGAACAAATATGTAATTTTACTTGCCCTGTGGGGAAGCGGTCATAGTAGCTGTTAAATTTCCAAAAGCACACCGCTCCCTCAAAGCAGATTATTATGGGTAAGCGATTGTTTATAGATCGGCCTAGAAACAGGAGTCACCAGGAACACTGGGTTTTTATTTCATGGTGTTGTTCCCCAGCAGGTGAGACTGACAGAGTCAGGCACATAGAAAGTGTGTATAATTTGTGGACTGTGAAGGAATGCTCCCATTCTGTATTACTATTTGTGTGCATTCAAAAACTTGTAATGCCTAGATAGCAGAAGAGACCAATACTTTGATCTTGCAGGGGAATGAAAGAATGGATCCTTAATTGGATCCTCAGCTACCAAGAGTGACTTTTTTTGGGGGGGTGGGGGTGGTCATGGATTAATTCAGAATCAAAGTGATTAAATGTTAATCTAGTTTTCCAGACTGATGGCTTATTTCTCCAAACAGGTGGTTCTCTCAGTGTATCTTCCAGGAATCAGGGCAGGAGCTTGTGAACGGGCTGAGGGCCTGCTTACAAGGTCAGTGTCCTGTGAAGTTTGGAGCACCTGAGTCTCACCCAGTAGATCTCCACCAGTGGAGAGATTGTCTCCAAGGGGACATTTAGCAATGACTGGAGACACTTTTGGCTATTGCAACTGGGGTGGAGGTGCTACTGGCATGTAGTCTCGTGGGTAGAGGCCATAGAGTCTCCTAAACATCTTACCACGCATGGGACAGCAATACCCCAACTAACACCACCACAGAAATTCATCTGCCTCAGAATTTCTACTATTGTTGTTAAGAAAACATGGACTAGATTGAGGGCTTAAGCAGTGAAACTCCTGAAAGCTACAACATTGAAAAATGAACCTAAAAGTTGTCAAAAGAAGCAGTGGCCAGTTTGTTCCAAGTTACGGTTTATTTACATGTGTTTCTGATTTCCTTTCAGAGGCCCTGAAGCTCTGGTATGAACGGAATTCAATTCTGCCGTATTCTATTATTGTGTATCGGGATGGAGTGGGAGATGGTCAACTTCAAGCTCTGATTGACTGTGAAATACCACAGATTGTGTCCTCCTTAAAGAGTATTTTCAAATCACAAAAGTAGGTATATAAATGTTGTGAAGCACAGATTTTGCATTTTAGTCTTTGAAAAACATCTATAACTATTATGATGTATGAATTATGAGAAAGAGATTGATACGGACAGAGAGCGTTAGCGGATGGATGGGGAGAAAACAGGCCCTCACATCCCTGACCCTGGGGCTCCACACCCACGTCAGAGCAGAACTGGAACATTGTAGTAGCAGATTGCTTCCCCCCATGAAATCCCTATGAATCTCTTTTTTTTTTTTTTT